TGAGATGGTTCTTGTTATGTAGTTCAGGCTGGCCTTGAAGTCGCTATATAGTTCAGGCTGGCCTTGAACTTGCGGCAATCCTCCTGCCTTAGCCTCCTGAGTGCTGGGATTACAAGCATGTGTGACCATGCTCAGCTTCTAAAATGTTTTTAATCTTTTATTTTGAGACAGCATCTACATTGCTTAGGCTGGGCATAAACTTGTGATCCTCCTGTTTCAGCCTCCTAAAGTGTTGGGATTATAGCCATGCACCATTACACCTAATTGTGCTTCTTCCTCATCTCCTGGTTTTGCCCACAAATGAGAAACTATCGTTAACAGTATTGTGATATAGGCCAGGTGTGGTGGTGCATATTTTGTCTAAAAAAAAAAAAGGTTGGGGGGAGAAGAGCTCCTAAAATTCCTGAAATTGTCTTGTATATGAGACAAGAACATTTTGAGCTGGGCATGGTGGCACATGCCTATAAAAAAAAGCACCTTTTGCTACTTATGACCCTTTCCACCACACCTGTGTTCATGCCAAAGTAGCTCTTGGAGGCCGCTGGCCAGCAGTCAGAGGACCCAACAGTGACCATGGTTTGCACTTTCAGCCTTACCTCTGACAGGAGAGGGGAGAAGGGCTGGAGATTTTTGTCAGGCCTAAAGAAGCCTCCATAAAACCATTAAGCTATAGGAGTCAGAGAGCACCAGGACGGGGAAAGAAAACCCATAGAACTAAAGAAATGTTTTCCTGAGTTCTGTGAACCATTATAGAAAATTACAAAACCAGGATGGCATGGTGGGAACCTCCAACTTCCAGTTGGTTGGCTACCAATACAGGTGTGGCAGCTTGAGTTTGCAACTATGTCTGAGGAGCTGAGTCCTACCCATGGAGTCTGCATTAGCTCCTGATCTTTACTGTCAGAACTGAATTACTGGACACTTTGCTGTCCAGTGGGTAAATACTCAATTTGGTGGCAGAAGTGTGTAGAAAAAACTTTTCCTTTTGGGTATCCAAAATTCCCACCCCCTAGCCCGACTCTGAGAGGGTCAGTAGATAGAGGGGCTGGGAGTGTGCAAGGCAGAGGCATCCTCTTCCCCACCCCATTTCCTCATCCTGTCACGGCTGGGCTTTCAGCACCATACTTGGATAAAGTGGCAGGCTAGTGGGGCTGGGGTTGGACGGACTCCAAGCCAGGGTGAAGCAAGGCTCCAGGGAACCCGTCACCTCCATCCAGTTGTCCTCCTATACGCTAGGCTTGAGTCATGCCCTCAGTCCCTCTCCATTTCTTCCTAGGAGGCCAGAGGTCCTCACAGGCAGCTCCTGGTCACGGAAATGTAGTCCTTTGCATCCTGGCCAAAAGTGGCAGACCCTAGCTGGTCAGGATGTGATGGTGTCAGGGAGCAACCTACCTGCCATCATCACCATGGCAAATCCCCTGTGCAGAGAACCACACTCCAGTTACCGACTTTCACAAGAAAAATGTCACACAAGAATTCACACCAAGGTACTTGACAACATTTACTGAACACCTATGTGCCAGGCCCTAAACAGGGCAGTAGGAAAGCAAAGTCAATGCTGCCTGGTCCCTGCCCGGGAGGAGCTCACAGTCTAGGAGGACAAGCCATGAATCAGAATAGCAGCAAATGTGCATTTGGTATCACAATTTTACAAGCTTTTAGGTTTTCTCAAGTGTAAGCACCCAATGACACAGCCATGTTGTCTTAAAAAGCACATTGGCATAAATGTAAACACAATCACATCATTGAAAGGATGACACAATCATCTGCAATGATTAATACTGGTGTTTTCAGGGCCAAATTCTTAGCATTATTTATTCCCTCTGCGATTAGGTAGTACACAAGTTTTGTCCATCTACAAAAAGTGGCAGATCTCGAAGTTTCCTAGGCCCCTTTAGTCCACAGTAGCTGAGCCAGCCCAGTACCTGGAGTTCCTGAATACTACCTCTTCTCCACACTTCTGCCCCATACATTCTTGGGCTCCTTCCAAGCCAGTCAAATGGGGGCAAAGGACTGTGCCCAAGTACCCACCCAGCTGTGAGGCCCAGTGACACCAGCTCAGGTGAGAACACGGGGCACCCTGCTAACCCTGGACCCTCCCTGACTGGCATGACTGCTAAGGTCGGTGTTCTGTGGAATGGACGCCCTCCTTTCCCTAAGTGCACCTACTTCTCAGGAGCAGTGGCTGCTTCTACTTACCTTACCTGCCCACGGGTACTAAGCGGACAGTGGGGACTGGGGTCTGAGAGGGCAAGATCACACGCAGCTTTGGCCTGAGGCAGGTTAGTTCAGGGAACATGGACTCCCACACAGGGACCCGAAGTGGGATCTCAGGTCTGGGCAGTGGAAGGAAATCAGGTCAGGGATTGGGTAGAATTAAGCCAAGGACAGGGTGGTGGGAACCTTTGCTGGAGAGAAGGGAGAGCTATTTAGGACCTGCATGCCACCTCCCCTTTGTGGGGTGGGAAAGGGAGGTTGAACCAGGATCACTTCACCTTACAAGGGCCCAACAACACTTATTTCTGTGGGTACAAGAGTCCCTGGCTCCCATGGTGGCCTTGTTTGGACAGATATCCTATCAGGCAAAGTCAGAAAGTACAAGATCTAAAGATATTTTTCTGATCCCACTTCGAGAGTGAGGCCGAGAGGACTGAGACCAAGGCTGGCCTGATGAATTCTGACCTGGTGCTCAGTACTACACCCTCCAGGACAGGCTGCCCCTGCTCCCACCCAGGACTACCCTCCTGCCCCCAAGCTGGCTTTAGGAGGCCCCTTCCCACAATGATGGCCCACACGGAACTCTCTTAATAAAAAAAAATAATTTATTGTCAACAAAGGTGATATATACAACAGGAAAACAGGTGAAAGGGAGTGTGGAGCTGAATGGAGCCCTCGGCAGGGAGGGAACAGGAAGAGGTAATGGAGGCTCCTGGTGTAGGAGCCCAAACAAGTGGGGGAGGAGGTGTCCCCCGAGGTAGTGGGACTCATTTCAGACCCCATCATGACCACCTCTGTGTAAGGCACTGTGCCAGGGGAGAATGGTGGGGACCTCAGAGAGGGTGCGGGACAAAGAGGTGTGGGTCAGGATTGGGGTAGGTGTTCTCCACAGGCCCAATGCCCTACCACGCCAGCCTCAGCCACCCGCCTACCTCAGGTCTGGTCAGGGGCAGACATTCTCCAGTGCCCCACCCCTCCAACCTGCCTTGAAACTGTCAGGTAGCCAAGTGAGCAGCTCTGAGTTACAAGCCAAAGGGGGATGCTGCCTCCTCCCTCTTGCCCTCCCTCCCCTCCCCAGGAAAGCAAGAACTTATACCCCACTGCTTGCCTCTGGCTGTCCCCCTACGGTGGTGCTGGATTCTGACAGAACTGCAGGCCACTTTGGGGTGTCACCTGCACCCACCCCCTTTATGCCCTGCGGGTGCTTGGACCAGTCTTGCAAGAGGCTGACTGCTGGGGGCTCCTCCATCCGCACACGGATAACCTGGAGATCCAGTGTCCCGCGAAGCCCCGAAGGGGTAGCTGGGCAGGGGTGGGAGCAGAGAGCAGAGTTAGGGCCTCCAGAGCCTGAAGGCACTTCAAAAGCTCTGCAAACCACACCCCACACTTCCAGGGCCTTCCTGCTTTCCACAGCCCAGTGTTTAGTTTGAGTGGAAGGATTGCAGCTTCACAAACCCCATAGGCACTGACACATACTGCCACAAAGTTCCTCCCCCAGACCTAGGATGGGGACACAACACACTCAGTGCTACAGCCACCTCTCCCTAGCTCTTACTCCCAGCAGCTCCATTTCACATGGCCTAAGGGGTTCTGCCACCACAGAGCATAGGAGGGAATGTGCAGAGCAAAGTGCTGAACGGAAGCCTGGGTTAGCACCCCAGCTCTGCTCTGTGATCTGACCTGGCTCTATCTCCTTAAGAGTCATCTATGTCACAAGGATCAGGTGTCTGTCTTAGCAGATGGGAAAGCTGCTCAGCATAGCAAAGCAAGATTCAAGACAGGGAAAAGTGCTTTGGGCCACTGGACAGCCTTGTCCCCTGCTTTGACTTAGGCCCATGCTAAAGTCATTCACATTTTTTTTTTTTTTGACAGGGTCTCACTGGGTAGTTGAGACTGACCTGAAACTCACTATGCAGCCCAGGCTGGTCTCGAACTCACAGCGATCCTTCTGCCTCAGCCTCCCCAGTGCGGGGGTTACAGGCGTGCGCCATCACGCCCAGCCTAGTCACATTGTATTACATGGCAAAGGCAGAAAATGGTGAAGGCAAATACTGTCTGTACTGAAAGGATTTTTTATTTTCCTAGTTTTAATTTTCATTTATTTTTTGGGTTTTTTTAATGGTAGCAAAGTTTTGCTTTTTGTTTTTTTGGTACCAGGGATCGAACTCGGGTCCTTGAGCACTTGCGAGGCAGGAGTGGAACCACTGAGCTAAATCCCGGCCCAGTAGCAAAGTTTTATTAAAGGCAAGGAAAGAAACAGGCTCTGCAGAGTGAGTTTGGGACAAAATAAAAGTAGGAAAAGAAGTGCACCATATGGGGTGAGAGTTGGTCAACCATGTGAGAGAACAGTTGCCTTTTCTAGTTTTTAGAGACAAAATTATTTAAAAGGTGGCAGAGAAGACAATACCATTTTGCCTTAGTTTGCTGGAGTTTAAGATGACTTAAAGGCCATCACTAGGCTGTACACTTTAGCAATGTATGTGTTCTGTTCAGGTGAGGTGGCTTGCCTGTTTGATAAACTCCTTGAGGGAAGACTGAATTCCACTCAATCTATTCAACAAATAGTTTATCGACAACTATGATGTGTCCAATGTTGTTCCACACTTCCAGGGATACAGCAGGGAGTGGGGCCGAGAGCGTGCTTTCATCTCAATGGTGAGAGCCAATAAAAACACAACCAAACTGGTGCCATGGATTTTAGTTCAGTGGCATCATGCCTGTCTCACAAGCACAAGGTCGTGAGCTCAATCCCTGGTACAAAAAAAAAAAGCAGCAAAAAACTACAAAACAAAAACCCCACAACCAAACAGAAGAGGTAGTATGTTCTATATGGCCAGAGGCAATGTCAAAAAACACACCAGGGAAAAGCGCCGGTGAGAAAGAGCAAGCTCACAGTGGGCAGAGATGCACGGGAAGTGAGGAGTTGTTAAAGCAGGGAACAGCATTTCAGAGAGAGGAAACAGCAAATGCAGATGCTTGGGCACACTCCCAGCCACTGTGGAACAGCAAGGCTAGTGCTGCTTCGGCAGAGCAGGTGTATGGTGAGAGGTCAGATCTTGAGGGAAAGACCACTGGTCCCCAGGACTCCACAGCTCTTATCTGAAGTGTGACAGGAGCAGCTTGGAGGGCCCTAAGCAGAGGAGACTGGATGTGACCTGTTTTCAGCCGGGATGCTGGTGGCTGCATCACAGCACAGTGGGCAAAGTTGAGACCTCTTGGAAGGTGGACGCAGGAAGTAGTGAGTGGTAGCAGCTGAGGGAGTGACAAAAGGGTGAACTCTGAACTTATTCTGGAGAATTTGAGGATGGACTAGTGAGGGGCTGATGAGTTAGTTAGAAGAGGGTCATTCTGAGGGTTTGGCCAGAACAAGTGAAGGATGGAGCTGTGAGTTCTCTGAGAAAGGAGGGGCATCACAGGGGGTGGGTATGGAGGAGACTGGGATTTCATCAGAGGCTAGAACCAAGGGGAGAGGCCCCAGCCGGAAAAGTAAGGGTTGACTACACTCCATTATAGGTTAGATCTTAAGTGTCATACAGATAAGACTTTGGAAGGTGATTGGATCATGGCAGCATCACGCTCTGCAATGGATTAATCCACTGAGTAAATGCACACCTCAATGCTCTATGAGGAGTGGGGCCTGGTTGGAGGTGGGTCACTGGACACACGACCTAGAAGGTTCCTGCCCCCAGCTCCTCTGCTTGGCTGCCATGAGGTTTTTACCTTGGAGCCAGCCAACCATAGACTGAACTTTCTGAAACTGGAGCCTTTAAGTTGTGGATGTCAGATATTTTGTCCCAGTGATGGAAAAGCTAATACACAGCCACACAAAAGGTATCGAGAGCTGTGAACTGGGTGGAATCTACCAGTATATAAACTGTGCCTATTTTCTGCCAGTCACTGTTCTGCCTGAGAGGGACAGCACAGTAAAAACATTCTGAGCCAAAGATGCTAACATTCTAGAAACGGGGAGACAGACAATATGATACAGAAAGTACGAGCAATGGGGCCACTGTCACCACCAGATCAAGAGAGTGAAGGGGCATAAACTAACCACTAGATTTAATTTCAATGACAATCTTGGCAAAAAAGCTCAACTTTGTTCAAGTGTTGAGGACAAAAGTTCCACTCAAGTGGATTTTAGAGAAAAGTGAAAGGCAGTTAAAAAAGAAAAGGCCTTCCATTGCCAGGCATGGCGGTATATATCCAGAAACCCTGGGAGGCTGAGGCAGGGATTGGAAGTTTAAACCCAATATGAGCAACTTAGTGAGACCTAACCTGCTTGAGGTTGAGGCTGTTTCTTTTCTTTTTTGTGTGTGGTGGTGCTAGGCATTGAACCCAGGGCTTCAGGGATGCTAGGCAAGGATTCTACCACTGACACACCCCTAACTTCCTGTTTGGTTTTTTTTTTTAAGCTGAGGTCTTGCTGTGTTGCCTAGGGTGGCCCTGAACTCCTAGGCTCATGTGATGCTCCTGTCTCAGCCTCCCAAACAGCTCAGACTATAGGTGTGAACCATTGCATCTCAACTGTTTCCTCTTCTGCAAACTGGAAATTATAGTACTTTACATAGCATTTTCCTTTCTTGAGACAGGATATTAGGAAGGTTTGGTACATAGTAGTGGCTCAAATAAGCAAGAGGCTGGCGTCTGAAGCCCCCAGTTGGTAAAGTGACGAGGAGGGTAGGAAGTGTGTGGATGGATGAGGTAAAGAAGTCAGGTGTGTAAGGCCTGAGACGCAAGAGTTTAGAGCACCAGGGCCACAAAACAGCAAGCTGCGATAGATGACTTACCATCCTGGGGACAACTGTGGATAAGCCAAGTCCCTCTAGCAAGGAGGCCCTGAATGGCCCCCACTTCCTTCCTCTCCCACCTGATCTCCTCTGCTTCCAGCCTCACTCCCACTCTTCTGGTTATGCATCTGTGATCGCACACATTCCAGAGCTGCTCCAGTTGGGCAGAGCCCATTCCCTCTGGTTGCTTCCTAGGCCATCTCTGAGCAGGGACTCACAAAACTTGTCACCACCTGAATGACAAGCCCAGGTACCCATCAATCACCTGCTCAACTTTATGGGCTTTGTGCCAGGCACTCTTCTAGGTGTTGAGGATCCAGCGGTAAACAAAAGGAGACTGCAAGGCTCACACTTGCATGCACAGGTGCTCTCACTATACTCGCTCCCAGGTCCAGCTTGGAAGCATCCCGTGTCTGGCCAAAGCCTACTAACTGGATCTCCAGGTCCTACCCAAACCAAACACTAGCCAGAGAGCCTCTTTTTTGCCCTTTGACTTGTGAGTGAGTCCTTCCAGTCTTCCTCTCCTGGCTTAAACTCACTTTGCAAAGTCCCTGGAATATTCCTGAAAGCTTTGCCAGACTGCTTCACTATCACACATTCACACCCACCAGCTAAACTAACCTCAGTAAAGTGTCCTTTCCTATTTCCTAGATTGATGTGTGGTTGCTATTTGTTTATTGGTGGTATTGGGGATTGAACCCTGAACTATATCATACCCAGGCCATTTCATTTATTCTGAGACAGGATTTCACAAACGTGTCCAGATAAGACTTGAACTTGCAATCCTCCTGCCTCAGCTTCCCAGCCTGAAACTCCCATAGGGGCCCCCCAATAGATGAAGTTTCTTGGGGGCAAAGGCTGCCTTATTCATGTCATGCTTCCCTCAGGGCTGGACTCCAGGGACACCATTGCTGCATTAGTGTCCTCTGTGGTCCCCTAGCCATCTCCAACCTCCAAAAACCTTGCCACTACTGAGATTATGCTGTCATCTCCCCCATCCCCTTTTGGTACACTCACCCCAAATAAACCTAAAACCTTAGGGATTCTCTTCTGTACTCACTACCCCATATAGGTGGGCTGGGTGCTTTGGGACTCAAAACGAAGGCTCCTTTCACATATGAAATCAGAAGACCAATCAAACAGTGGCAAGGCCAGCCACATGGAGGACCCAGGGAGAGCAAGGGGACTCAGCAGCAGCTCAGGGAGGCAATGCAGGAATGCAATTCACACAGAGATAGTTAAAACTGATATGCAAGAAGGGGAGCAGTCTGTTTTAAGAGGAGAAAAAGGTGCCCTGTTACGGTAAATAAAGGGACATGTATGTGTACACATGCACACACAGGTCTGTGAAAAGGCTGAGGAGAACAAATCAAATCATTAAGAGTGAGCACTGCTGGTGAGTGGATCTGCAGAAGTATGCAACATGCAAAATGCTCACCTCCTTCTGGAGAGCCCTATGCTGGGGAGCCTCCAGCCACCTCATGAGCCACCTCACTAGGCTCTTACTCCATACGCACAATTCCAACAAGCCGGGACACAGACACGGGCACTCCCTGGGCAGCCATCCCCTCCTTCAGTAAGTATTTCCTGAGCCCTAAGTGCTGCAAGCTGTACTTGGCAAAGACAGGAGAGGAGAGGAAGCAGGCTCAGTAGCTGGAATGCATTCCACTCCCCTTAATTCTGTGGGTATGATTGGTCGGTACAGAAAGATGACCCTCAGCAATGTCCATTCAGAAGTCTAAATCCTTAGAACCCAGCAATGTCTCATTCTATGGCAAGGGGAAACGAAGGCTGCAGACAGAATTAAGGTTGCTAGGGCCGGGGATTTGGCTCAGTGGTTCCACTGTCTGCCTCGCAAGTAGCAGGGCCCAAATTTGATCCCTGGTACCAAAAAAAAAAAAAAAAAAAAAAAAAAAAAAAAAAAAAAAAAAAAAAAAAAAAAAA